CTGCGCTCTGGCTGGGCAGCCCAGGAGATTTTGAGGGCCGGTTTTTGCCTCTGCCGTGGGGCAGCTTTGCTTAACCTCCCTGCGTCCTTGTCCTCTCCACACGGCCGCGTGTAGGAGCGAGGCGTCGCTGCTCCCCGGGACAGCGCTGCCTCCCTGTTTGTGCAGCACCTAGCACACCAGCTCGGTGCAGGAGGGGGGTGCTACCTCCATGCAAAAAGGAGAGGAACAGCACGAGGCCGTCTGAGCACGGGGCCCAGATGGGGGCTAGGGGAGGCTGCCGACGTGGGAAGGGGGTGCCGCGGCCTGCTCGGCGCACTCAGCCCCGGCAGGCTGTGCAGTGCAGGAGCATGGAGCAGCAGCGCCAGGACTCGAGGGCTGTGGAGGGGGGTGTTAGTTGGGTTGGGGCCCTGGAGATGCTCATTCAATGTGTTGCAGGCAAGTTGCCAGGCTCTGCACCTCAGTTTCCCCACACCAGCTTTGTGCTGGTGCTGGAGAGGAGCTTTGCTTGCTGCACGTGAAAGGCTCTGAGCACCGGTTGAATTCTTTTTTTCCCCATGTGGTGCCTGCAAAGGAGCTGCAGGGGCTTGACCCAGCACCCCAAGCACCCGCGTGCGGGGTAGAGCAGTAAACAGGCAGTGACGCTGCCTCTGCTTGGTATTCCCTGAGCATCTTGGCACAGCTCACCTGCAAGGGAGCTGCTGCCTTCCCCAGCTGGTGTTGGACAAGCACCGCAGGACAGATCCTGCTGTTGATGTTCCTTGACTTTGAGGCTCTTCCCCGTAGCCTGGGGTGGGGAGGGATCGTGCGTGTCCACCTGGGGCCTGCTGCTGCTGGGGGGTACTGAGCCACCTCACACTTCTGAAGGGCAGGGAAAGTGTGCAGGTACGGTGCTCGGAGCGGAGCCTGGCCCTGCATGGCAGGGAAAACTCAGCCTGCATCCCTCATCCTTTGGCTCCTTGGATTTGGGGCTGCTGGGGTCCTCAGGGCACCTGGCGCAGAGGCCCTGGGGCTCTTGGGGGTGCTGAGACCTGGCGTAACTCAGCAGAGCTCAGCGGCTTGGTGGTGGATGAGGCGAAGGGGCCAGGAGCCAGCCAGCTTCTCGCGGCAGGTCCTGGCAGCTCTCCCTGGAAACCCAGCGCAGGCAAAAGAGCTCTCGCTCGGCTCAGCAGGAGGTGGGAATGCACCGCAGATCCCGCGTGCCGTCTGTTCCTGCCCAGCTCCGGGCAAGGGCTGGGCCATCTCAAGCCGTTTCCCGGTTGGTGTCTGTGGCTGAGAGCTGTTGTCCCTGCGGCGAGTTTTGGGAACCCTTCCTGCATTGCACGCTGGAAGTGGTGATGCAGGGCCTGATCCGGGCTGCTGCTGATCCCCCATCTAGTGTCTGTAGTGGAGGTCGCTGCCTCCACGATGAGGCTGGGGTAGCCCTGTTCCAGGTGCTGCTCTGCCACGTGCCCCCCACCCCATGCCTCAGTTTCCCCCTGTAATCTTGGTCAGCAGGGCAAAGTGCTGCTCTTTTAGAAGCACCCAAGTGCCTGCCGTGGTCTTTACTGGCCCCCATCCCATCTGTATCCCTCAGCCCCACAGCACGCTCCCCTTGGTGCCTGTTCAGCATCACGGGAGCATCCCAAGATCCCCAGGCAACCTTTGGAGATGGGCACCAATGGAAAAAGCGTCCTCCAGAAGGTGCTGAGCACCGCAGCTGCCCAGAGGCAGGCAGGCCCCTGCAGCTGGTTCCCTTCTCCCATGGGCCAGAACTCATCGGAGACAATTGCTGTCTCCCTTCCCATTGGGGTATTGAGCAGGTGGCAGTGGGCAGAGGGGGTCTTCGAATCTCCCCCTCTCCAGCCTGCCCTGGGCAGGGCCAGGGCTCTATTCCTGGTCTCTGAAGCTTTGGCCGCATGCTAAGACTTGCCCGGCACTGCCCACCTTCCTGTCATCCTGCCTGGATGCAGCATTTCCCCGCCGGCAGCTGGCACACTAAGCACCCTGCAAGCACAGACACCTGATCTCATCTGGCGAGGGGGGAGAGAAGGGCTGCTCTGGCTGGGCAGGCACATGCAGAGAGGAGAGTATGAGGTGCCAGCAGGTGGTGAAAGCAGACCAGAGGGGAGCGATGGGCTCGGGATGGACAGATCCAGTGCTGCCGGATGGATGCTAGGAGCTTTTTCTCCTGGGAGAGCTCCAGCCTGGGTTGGCAGTGAGGGTGTCAGCTTGAAGGGGAAGGTTCCCTTGTCCCTGCCTGTCAGCCCGTTCCCAGGGTGTGGGGAGCAGCCCGCCCTCTCATGCTCACCTCTCTCCCACAGGCCTGGCTCCGGCTCTATGGCTACCTGCCGCCGTCA